TGGGTGGCTCAGTCAGTTATGCAGCCGCCTTCGGCTCAGGTCATGATCCTGGGGTCCTGGGATCGAGCCTCACGTGTGGCTCCCGGCTCAGCGGAGATTCTCCCTCTCCCTCTGCCTGCCGCTCTGCCTACTTGTGCTCTCTCTCTGTCAAATAAATAAATAAAAATCTTCAAATAATAAAAATATATATATTTGTGTATTTGTAAACATTTTTGTCTTTTAAAAGCATCTTTAAAAAACTAAAAAATAAAAATAAAAACATATGAAAAGTGTCAAACATCATAAAAATACACTGAACCTCCCCACTACTACCACCTATCACCTAGCATTAGACCTCGAGCAATGCTCAGATGGACTAATCAGTGGGTTCAGGTGTTGTCAGCCTGATCTACACATCATGAAACTCTACACCTGCCTTTCAGTCATTGTTTTTACCACACATTGATACACATGGCCTAGATCCATTTATTTGTGATTATATAATTCCTTCTTCATTTTAGCTGAAATTCTTTTATAAGGAACTATCCATCCTTTACATGTGGTTAACTTCAAATACAGTGTATATAAGGAAGGCAGAATAAATGTTTGATTCCTTTTCCTTATCATTTTATTGTTTTCAGAATGAGTTGGTGCCCTAGGAACCTTCCATGGTGACCAATGAGTTTTATTTTTTTATTTCATTTTTAGTGTCACTGTGAGCCCATAGATTTGTTTATATTTTGTGTATTTATTGAACTGCAGTCTGATGGTCATTCTTTTTATGATATACATATGGAAAAAATATAGAAGTAAGTAGAGTGCTAAAAAAAAATCCCACCCCAATCCCTCTCCCCAGAGGTGATCCTACAAAATCCTTACAATGAAGTTCTCATCACTAAGTGTGAGTAGATCTGTTTCTTGCAACTTAGGAAGCCGTGTAGGACCACTCTCAATAGCAATGCCTTACGAAAGAATTTACTTCAGTTCCTTGGAAGCAGGAATTTTGAAAAGGAGGATGCATTATTTAATTAGACACAAAGGAAAGTGCCAAATTAGGGGCTAAGAAATTAATCACACAAGTTTAGGGAAAATGTTACAAACAAGAGTTTTCTTTTTAAGGAATAAGAGTAGATCATGAAATAAAATTTTGGAGAATCTTAACTATTTTCCCACAGAAAGATGACCAACAAAGGCTGTCATGCGACCTAAGCCGGTGAGGTGACAAGAAGCATTAAGACTTTAGAATCAGCAACCCTGTGCAGTAGCAGTAGCAGTGCTGCAATGGAACCAAAATGTGCTTTTATAAACTGATCTAAACCAAATTCCTGCACTCTGGCACTGCCCTGCTTTCCTCAAGATCTTCCCCATCCCAGTTAGCTTCCATTTCATCTCTCCAGTAGCTCAGGTCAGAAAGCTGCCTTATCCTTGACTCTTCTCTTTCCCTCAGATACCCCATACTTGGCAAATCTTGTTTACCTCTAAAATATTTTAAGAATCTGATCCCTTCTCACAACCTCTGCTTCTGCCACCCTGATCCAAGCCACTTCTATCACTCACTTGGAATACTGCAACAGCTTCCTAAGGGTCTCCTTGGTTCACTTTTGTTCCTGTGGAGTGTAGCTTCCATCTACCACCAAGATGATCTTTTCGGAATTAAGTTGTGTCTCCTATACCTCCGCTCAAAAGTCAACAATGGCTTCTTGTCTCACTCAGAGGAAAAAGCAAACTCCTTGCTGTGACTTCTCATGCTTTCTCAGGCCCCTTGTTAGTGCCCTGACCTCATCCTACCATGCTTTCCTCCTTCTCTCCATGCTACCCTCACTGGTTGGTGATTCTGCAGATACTTCAAATGTGCTCCTGCCTGCCTCTGGGCCTTTACACTTACTGTTTAATATGGAACACTTTGCTCTCAGATACCTGAATGGTTCATCCCTTTTTTCCCTTCAGGTCTGTGCTCAAATGTCCCCACCACCCCTGCCTATCACCACTCCCAACACAATAATGCTTTATTTTTCCCCATAGCAATTACAACATCTATGGTACTATATAATTTATGTAACTATTTATTTTGCTTATTTTTGTCTCTTCCACTAAAATGTACACCCCATAGGGCAGGGGTTCATATTTTTTTTTTTCAGTGCTAGAAATGGGACCTGGCACATCACTGACCCTCAATAAGTGCCTATTGAATGAATATAAAATACTCTAATAGCCAGCACTGTGTGTCTCCCCCAACCCCTGCCCCTAAATATACAGGCATTACTTTTTATCCTCAGCTCTACAGCCCCATGGCCAATGAAAGATAAAATATCAGATTTTACTATGTCAACTTGCTATTCAACAGGCATTTAAATGTGGTTTAAGAACAATTTTTAATAAACTGTTCCACTTTTTAATAGATACAGTGAACAATAAATGCAAAGTGTCATAACATATCAGACTTTTATTTGTATTGTAAAATTGAATTGGCAGCTGTGTAATAATAAAAAGTTATGATTATGAGCTGCACACGAACAAATAAAGCCTGATCACTCAGGTTTAAAATTCTCTTGCCTTTCATACTGGCTGCCCATTTCTGCCCTGGTTAGTCGTTCTTCCAGACTGTGCTCTGGGAGTCAGAAATATCAACACCCTAAGTCACCCTGCAGCGCCTCATTAAAGAAGCACCCATCAGAAACTGCTTTGGTTTTAGATTATTTTGTCTTTCTCTTATTCTAGCCCAGTTATTCTTCACCACAGATGAAATATCAGAGTTGGCTGAGAAGCTTGTTCACAATACCCACTGGCCCCATCCCAAGAGATTCTGATTCATAGGTCTGTAGGTGAATTGGGGGAGGATGGATATTGGACAAGTGTACTTTAGGAAAACTCCCCAATGATTCTGAGACGCTCCTCTGGTTCAGAACCACTGCTTTAATTGATATGTACACTAAATATAATTACTATGTGAGTCATTTTAATTGAAGAGGGGGAGGGCCTGGGAAAAACTCTCAATATTCAAGGACAGACAAGTCACAAGTTTTCCAATAACCAACAACTCCCGATTGAGGAAAGGACACAGTGGCTATCTGACCCCAACTAGAATAATCCCCTGATCCCTGATAGAAGGGTCCTGGATGGAAGTGATGGAAAAGAAGGGATTATCAAATGTTGCCATGAGGTATAGGATTTCTGCAATTTATTTAAGCCTTGTCCATAATACACATTTTAAGATCAGGTACGAAATGTCTGTTCCTTTTCTCCTAAGACTCTTGGCCACACTTTGTGACGATAAAATCTCCCAGGCTTCTGTGATCCAAATTGGTCTTTTTCTTCCATAAGTTGTCCTAGGTCTCAAAGGGTAGGGGGCATAGCTACTGAAAAGGGAGACCTGGCATGAGAGATGAGAGTAAAAAATATTCAACAAGACCAGTGCACAGCAAAAAGGAATCAGACAGCCAAACAGTGCAGGGGGTTCAAGGGAGAGCTTCCTTAAGGAAGTGGATGGATATGTAGGAGTTAGACAGGAAATGAGGAGGGGATGGAGAGTGGAGAAAGGACTGTTAGTCATAAGAAGTGGCCTGTGCAAAGATACAAATGCAAAAGCAGCTCGCCATCTGGAAGGATAAAAACAAGCCCAATGTGGCTAGGGCAGAGAGTTCAAGGACAGTGGGAGAGAATACCCTGAAGAGAGAGGCTAGGGCCAAGGGCCTATAATCCATGCTAAGGAACTTGGACTCTATTTTAATGCTGAAGAGGAGCTACCAGAGCGTTTTTAAGTAAGGGGATGACTTGATTCACTCTGCATTTTAGGAAAAAGCACTCTAGGCTGTCCTAGGGCAAACAATTACAGGAGCAAGGCTGGACACAGGGAGACGAGGTAGGAAGATGCTATATTCATTCAAGTGAGAGGTGAGCAGCTTAGATCTTCTTCTTCTGCTGCTTCCCCCCAAACAGTATCCTGAGGGTCTAAAAGCTCTTTAAGTCATCCAGCAATCTTCTTTTTAAAACATGTTTATTGAGTGCCTATTATTTTCTATATCTACACTGCCCAATACAGTAGCCACTAACTACATGTGACTATTGAGCATTTGAAATGAGGCTAGTCTGAATTGAGATGTGCTTTAAATAGCACAGAAAGAAAAGTAGCAGAAGACATAGCACAAAAAGAAAAGTATAGAATCTCACATTAATAATTTTTTTTAAGGTGTGAACTTTTTATTGTGTGAAAATTCTCTGACTATAGTCCACTGGTAGTTTTTGTACAGTTTTTATTTGCTTCAAGACCACATTTGGGGGTGTTTGATTGAGTAATCACCCTAGCACTTAAAAATGTGAAAGGGAGGTGGAATTGATTGGCACAAAGCAACAAGGCCAGGCACCTAGTAGGTAAAGGCTTGGTCATTGGTTTCCTCATTGGTAAATGGTCGTCATGGTGGTACCCACCTAGGCTACTGGGATTAAAGTACTGTGTGGAGCTGCTGTGAGCCATAGCAAGACCCAAGTCTGTTTTAAAGGTGAGGAAGGAAACTACTTCAGTCTAGCCAAAGCTGATAAATTTGGCTTTTGCTTGTGGCTTGAAGACAGAAGTTGAAGTAACACTTCATACCTGTAATACTAGGTCACCTCTGTATCACTCCCTAAACTTGAAAGTGAAAATCAAATACCATGCTTCTAGTACTTGAAGTCTGATCTTTGGGGGCATTTGCCTTATACACAGACATCTTTCCAGATGGGATTGACTGTTCCTTAGCATGAGGCTCACGCTAGGACCTTGGGAGCAATAGTACATGGGTTAAGCTTTCTTGATAATCCAGTTGATGTAATTGGCCCAGGTTTTTTATTGCTGCTATAATTTAAGGGACAGATTGGTGAGAACATCTTCTATGTAGAATGATCAGTGCTTTGCTGAAATCCACACTAAGCATTTTTCTCATTTTAATTGTAACATTTGGCCTGAGTCCTGTAGAAGTGGTGCAGGGGAACATTTCAAATACTTTGTTCAGTGTCCTTGTTAAGGTGTAGAACCATCTCTGGGGCCCTCAAATTGGCATTGGAAGACTTAACTTCTTTCCTTTAAGGACTTTGGTCACATACAAGTAGAAGACGTCACAGTAGAAGATGGTTTGTACTACTCCAGACACCACTGCAATTTGGTCATAGAAGTTCTCAGTCTGATACCGCCTGATCCAGTTAGCCAGGTAGAGTGCACCGTACAGCCCAAGAAAGAACAGGTAGTAAGTAGTAATGGCCTCAGCCTCTCCAGTTTTACTGATCATGAAGAGCTGGGGCAGGATGGCCACTGATTCCAGGTAGACAGAGAAAGTCCAGAGGACCTCCAGGGGAGTAAAACTGTAATTCTCAAGGAAGGAGAGACCAATGACAGGGACCAGAAGAAACTCCAGGTGGAATGTGTCATTCTCACTGTCAAATGTTTTCCGAGATTTCCCATAGATCATGTACACTGCGACATAGACACAGAGGAGAAAAACCACCTTCATGACTGTGTTGTAGATGGAGATGAAGTTGGTGAACAGGTCCAGATACCTGGTGGTGAAGACGAGAGCAAAAAGGATCTGGCTCTTCCCAGAGATGCCCAAGCAGCACTTGGACCTCCAGATCTTCCCCAGGAGCAAGATCATGGCCAGGAGGGGGCTCAAGTCGCCGAGGATCCGGAACACGTTTATGGTGCCCCCCGGCGGCCCGACATCGCGCGACACCAACTCCGGGAAACTTTGTGGTGGGCGAGGCGGCTGCCACGTCCCCAGCCCGGCTTTGGGTCCCGCACGCCGCTGCCCGCGCTCCGAGCCCCGCGCTCCCAGCCCCGCGCTCCCAGGCCCGCGCTCTCCCGGCCGGGCAGTGACGTGGCTGGGCCGCCACATTAATAATTTTTATGTTGATTACATGTTGAAATATTTTGAATATATTGGGTCAAATAAAATATATTATTTTTTTTTAAAGTTAGTTTCACCTGTTCATTTTCAGTTTTTTTTAAATGTGGGTACCAGAAATATTAAATTACATATGTGGCTCATATTTGTGGGTTATATTATGTTTCTATTGGACAGAGCCATTCTTGGCACTATGCTTAGCACCAAGAATATAGCACAGTACAAAACAAACCCCCTGCTCTCATTCCCCTAGAAAGCAATCCCAAATCAATATCAATCAAAAAATCAAAATAAATATATACTTTAACATCTGTATAATAAATCCCTTTATCACCAAGAAGTGCCATACAACGTTGGTACCCAAGCTTGGTTTTGTGATCACTTTAGCACCAGGGAGTTGTGCACAGACCGATATAACATCTTTGCACCCAGTGAAGGCCAAAGGACATCAAGGCCCCTATACAAACAAAGGCCCGCTGGTTGTTCCTCTAGACATACATGGCAGGATGATGGATAACTGACACATGAAGGAGAGGTCACAGTGTCCAAAAGACTTGTAGTGTCAATGCCACATACATGCAGTAAGTTGTGGTTGTTTCAGCAAAACAGCGTCTATCACATTAAATCAGTGCCACTAATTGGAATATTATTGTTACTGTAATTTTGTTTCTACTTGGTTTTACCAAATTGTTTAGGTTTTATAGATGTACAACTAAAAATGTGAGTAATACATAACTAGTTTTCTGTTTAAATATATTTAAGTAATACCATACTATGGTTAATTTCACTTAACACTAGAAATAAACTGTAATATTTTTCCCTGAAAAGGAATTCTTATGTTATTCAAGTTTTAGAAATCCTGCCCTGGATCATGGTTTCTATCCTAATCGCTATACCTCCCCTGCCTTCTGCCCACACCTTCCTGGTAATCCAGGGGCTTCCCAGTGGCCTACAGTTTGCTACTTGTCAGCAGCAACTGAACAGCCTCATTAAACAACTGGCTCTCTCCTTCTCCTGGCCTAAGAAGATGGTCCATGATCATTCAGGGGCCTGTCACCAAGGCAGCTATAGCTCTCCAGGGGAGGTATATATATCCAGGAGCAATATTTAAAACATTCAATGACAGGTATGCCATGGCACTGCCCAGTCAGAATGGATGCTGCCTGAAAGGAGAAATTTCAGCCTTTCCATTGGATGCCACCCTGCATACCCCCACCACCACCCCATCTGCCCCCAGCCCTGGTTTGTCAGGTGAGGAAAGGCTCCTAGGAGATCCCTGTTATTTTGCCTCTCACCAGACTCCTCAATTCTATTCAGGGCTCCCTCTGAAGTATCTTATCTCTGTGTCACCCCCATTTATGATTCCCAGGCCAGCATAATGGAAGGGGGGGAAGCATAAATGCCAATAGATTAGGAGACAGCAGAGCATAATAGCTAAAATGATAAAATGATAAAATGTCTGCAGCCAGACAACCTGGGTTGAATCTTAGTCCCCACAACTAGCTTGTGTGGCCATGGGCAAGTTCTCTGTATCTCCATTTCCTTTTCTGTAATATGGGGATAATAAACCCTCAGTAGGATTTATGAGGCTTAATTATTACATATAAAGCACTTAAAACAGTGCTTAGCACTCATTAATAGTTACTATTACTGGGAAAACCAAGAGTATCTTTCTCTCCCACAGTGGAAATAAGATGTGGACCTAAAAGTCTCAAACCCTGCAGAAACCCCATCCTTCCTGACTATAGAGATTAACAACCCTGGCTGCCTTTGGTTTGAGAAGACTCCATCCCTAGTTGGTCCACACAGGTCCTCCCACCCACAGCCACCACTGGTCCTTGACAGAAAAACAGACTTGGGACCTGCGACAGCCGGAGATACATTTGGCAGGGAAATAAGAGAATTTCTTTGGCACAAGCCAATATATTGCCTGCAAATCCACACATTTGCAGTCTTATTAATGGAACTCCAGGATTCCATAACTTCAAAGGAAAGGGTACATGAGGTGTTCCTAGGCATGAAGTTTTTGAGGCCCCTGCTGATTTTAGTCACACCCGTGGAATGCAGGAAGTAAAGTATCACACTTAAAGCAGTGCACAATAGATTTGCCTCCTAGTTTATCATGTCCAGAATCAACCTGAAGCTACTAAAGCAGCTTAATAGTCTAAGCAGTGGTTCTCACACTTTGGTGGGTATCAGGATCATATGGGAAACTTAATAAAAATACAAAAAGCCCAGGTCCTACTCCAATGAGCCCAAGCCTTTGTGTTCTTTATTAGTTCTTTAGGTGTTTCCCTATAGCCACAAGAATGTGAGAACCATGACTCTAAAGAAAAGATAGATACAGAAGGGTCAGCAGCCCACTCCCATGCTATAATCCAACATTTCAAGAATGCCTTAACTGAATACCCCTAATCATAGGCTCACTCTTTTAATACTTTAATTAATAAAATTAATAAAGACATAAAAGTACTAACCATGTTTAAGTAATGCAGTCTACACATACGGTGGCATTTTGAAAAGTTATTTGCATAAGTTTATTTTAGACTTGGGGATTCTTACAGCTCTCACACTGTCTCACTATTACTGAAAGAATACTTTAAAATTATGATGTAAAGACAATTAACTTTTAATTGAAATGGCTCCAGGAAGAAAATTATAAATAGCACATTTGTCTTCACTGTGTTTTCATTATAAGACACAGAAAGTAATCGATGGACAAGAAAGCACAGTGGAACTCAGGGCACAGAGAATATGGTCGCCAAAAGCAGAAACACAAGACTCCAGGATAATTATGCAGTCCTTCCCAACAAGTGAGCCCAGAGTTCTAGAAATGAATTATGTAGATTCTAATAAGCATCTTATAAATACCAGAAATGATTTACATTACATATTCTCAGACACTGTAACTGATTTGGGCTAGGAAGTCTCCAACCTAATAGAAGGCAATATTCTAAAATTTTGTTCTTTGCTTTAGAGCACAGCATTCTGCCACAGCACGGTGTTATAGATGGCTGTGTGGTGGCCAGGAGGCAAGGTGTGCAATGGGGAGCACGACCCCGCAGCTCAGAAGACTTGGTTCTGAATACTGGCCCTGCCATGAATTTGAACCACAATTCTTCTAGCTGTTCAACCACCAAATCTGAAAGTTACCCTACATTTTCATCTTCTCATACTCCGCAACCAGTCCAACAACAAATCACATTTAGTTAGCTCTTCCTTTAAAGTAGGTGCAGGATCCAACCATTTTTCCACTTCACTACAATCAAGGTTCATGTTACCATCAACTCACACCTGAATTATTACACAACAGCCTCCAAATAATTCTCCCTACAAGTCAGATCATAGCGCACCTTTGTTCATGGAGCTCATTTCACTCAGAATAAAAGCACAAGTCTCTGCCATGATGTAAAAAGCCAAGTGCATTCTCCAGCCCATCCCACCTAACCCCACCCTCCACTCCAGCCTCTTGGCCTCTTTGCTGCTCTTCAAACACACCAAGCACACTCTAATTCCAGGACTCTGCACTTGCTGGTCCCTTCAATTGGCACTCTCCTCCGAACACCCCCAGATAACTATGTGGCTCCCTCCTCTCCTCCTTCAATGGCACTTCAAATATCAGCCTCTCCATGATGCCTGTGGAATTTGTATCTACTACACTTATATATACATAGAAAATGTCTGGAAGATATGTAAACTGTTAACAACAGAAAACTCAATTAAGTGGGAATGGTTTGGGAGCAGGGTGAAGGAAAGAACTTATTTTATAGTCTTTCATATGCTTTTTGATATTTTTATCGAAAAATTAGTGGTAGCTAAAAATATGATAATGCTGAGTTAATAGATACCCAGGTCAGTTCACAGGAACCCAGGTAGCCCTGCCAGTTCTGAAGTATTATAGTTCATATGTTGTATGTGCTTGATGGGATTTTGAATTGAGAGATAATTGACATATAACATCATATTGGTTTCAGGTATACAAAGTAAGGATTTGATATTTGTATATATTGCAAAATGATCACCAGAGTAACTCTAATTAACATCCATCACCACAAATAAGTTACAAATTTGTGTGTGTGATGAGTACCTTTAAGATCTACTCTCTTAGCAACTTTCAAATATACAATACAGTATTGTTAACTATAGCTACCATGCTATATATTACATCCCTAGGACTTATTTTATAATTGGAAGTTTGTACTTTTTGGCCACCTTTACCCATTTCCTCCACCCACTCAAAACACAATAATCATAACAGTGTAATTTTTTGCAATGCAGGTCTACTAATGAAATGACTGAAATTCTCTTGAGGGGATAACATTTTGTTTAACTGGAGTTCAAAGTTAGTCTCTTGTATCATCATGGCAGAAACATAGCCTAAAATGAATGATCAAGGCAAAGCATGCTCTAAGGTACTGAAATAGAGCTGGAGGGGACATTACAGAGCCATTGTTTTAGCTCTTACAGATGACGTGAAGCCCAGATTCCTGGTAACATCTGCTCCCATCTCACAGCTACACTGTGAAGAGAACCCAGTCTCACGACTTGTGGTTCCACTGGACCTCTTCTTAGAATACTTGCATTTCCCCTGGGAGAACTGACCCAGGGGCATATTCATTGTCTGGAATTTAGTACTGCCTTTTAGCATTAAAAAAGTCACATCCTGAAGAGCCTTTTAAGAGGCCATATTCTGTTTGCTAATGAACAGTGGAAGTGACTGCACAAGACTTTGTCCACTAGGCATCACTGTACATTATTGCCATGTCGTTGTTGTTTTTATTGAAGAATAGTTGACATACAATGTTATATTAGTTTTAGGTATACAACACAGTGATTCAACAATTCTATATATTACTCTGCTCACCAGTGTCTAGTGCAGTTACCATACGCTATTATATTATTGACTATATTCCTATGCTGTACTTTTCATCCCCATGACTTATTTATTTTATAACTGGAAGTTTGTACCTCTTAATCCCCTTCAACTAATT